CCCACTTTTGTTCCTCTACTTCGGACGCCGGCCATTTTCCGCTTTGTTTACACTAAAGAGTGCTTATTCACACTTCTTCAGCAAGTGCAAACTTATCCGTAAAAAACAGCTAAGTCTCTGGCACACTTGAGTGCTTTCTTTTCTCCTCCCCCCGTCTCTTTAAAACACAGTTCAGTTTGTTTACGTCTGGGATTCCTCCCGACGCCGCTAAGGCACCTCTTAATCATCGCTTCATTCGCTGACCTTCTTGCTTGTCCCAGCCGGCATTCAGCTATGCTCGGTAAAAACCGAGCCTCTCAGGGGGTGAACCGATTGGGGCAAAAAGGAGCACCTCAATTCTCCGGCTTCAAGCCATCGAAGAGGTCGCCCCCCCAAGCGCCCCTGGCTTGGAGCCTCCACACTGAGGCTCACCTGGGGGTGCCACTTGAGGTGGCACCCCTCCAGCACCCCTGGAGCGCGGAATGCCTCCCCTGTTCAGGAGAGAGCCTCCGCCATCGCTGAAGCCACAGACCGGAAGTCTGGCCACCCCTGTTTTAGATTAATGCAGTCAGTCAAAGGATGTATACATGATCTGGGGAATGGTTTGGCATTCCTACTCTTAATGGGAGACACTGGCCAAGAAAACTGTATTACCATTTGTTACCTAGTATGATATTATTATCTAGGTATCATGGATCTAGATACCATTCCTATATAAGGTTGCAGTGCTAAGCAGCACAAACAAACGCCAAAGCACTTTTATCCCTGCCAGGCTTCTAACTTGCATAACCTATTATTGGAAGGGTGTGTGTGTAGAAGATGACAGAGGAGAGTGCCTGCAAAGACTTGCAGGTAAAACAAGCATACTCAGTTCACTCAGAGCTAAGGTTATTTTCGTTGTATCACCATATTGCTGGGACTTGCCAGAGAAAGTGCTTGGTGTTACCCTGTCTAATTTGCATCAAGCCTCAACGACCATGTAACAAAATGCTTTAAACACAATTATATCATCAGCTCAGCCTGGTTGAAAACCCCCCAAGCTTTTCCTTGCTGTTCACAGGAACCAAAAAGCCTCCTATATTGTTCATGAGCATCAGCATGTTTTTCAGTTATGGCATGATGACAGATGGGTTATGGACTCATAGGCCATCTGGATTTTGGTGCTGCGTGCTTCTCTGTTGGCTAATCCAGGAATACTTTCCTGATGTACGAATGTGTAAGAAAAGTCTTGAAATAATCTTAATTTTGTATTGATATGAGCTTTGAATTTCTTCTTGATATAAGTTTTGAGGATTTAGATTTCAGTATACATTATAAAAGGACATATTGCAGCTTTGTTGAGATAATGGAATGGGTAAAACCTGGGCTTGATTAATCATTAAACTAAGCATGTGACAGATACGACAGGTAGCATACCAAGAGAGGAAAACTTTAATGGTGCGTCAAAAATTAAGTTTGAAAACCATACTATGCAAATTGACACTGTTAGATTGATTCTGTCCAAATTATGAATTTTGGTGACTTGCTTAAAAAACAAAAAGATAATGTTTTTTGTATTTAAATATGAAGATGATTAAAACAGAGATTAGATTTCTGAAGCCTTTTACAGATACAGCCAACATATGGATAAACACATTTATGTAATCTGTAAGAGTATCTTGATTTTTTAAAGAAGACATTGAAGTAGAGATTCCCAGACTCTGTACTAGTTGTGCAGTTTTACTGAATTCTGCACTAATTGCCATTCACAAACTACAAGCCTTGGCTACAGTATAGGGCCCAAGCCAAATTGCAGCCCACGGTTGGAACTCTCCACAGTAGTACCTGTCTTCCGTCTTCTCTGTACCATGAACTCTTTAAAACTACCGTTCTTCTTTGAATATGGAACCTACCCACAAAATTCAAAATTAATCTGCCTTCTCGAAAGTACTAAGATGTAAATTATGGACTGACAACTCTAAAAAAGTGAAAAATTTAACATGATGAACTATGTAATGTTTTGAAAAAACTGTTAAAAAATAAACTTAAAAAAAAAAGAATTGGAACCTACTACCTCACCATGTAACAGTGCAGTAACATGAGCAATTTTAGCAGTGGGGATTTTTTTAAACATCAGTGCTGAACCAGCATATGTGGAATGTCTGTATGTTTGAACTGTGCAGTTAATGGGAGGATGACAGGAAAGCAACTACAGGTGTGATTTGTAATACTGTGATTTTAAAATTTTTATTTGGAATTATGTTTTTTTAATTTCTAAAACATTCCAGAAATCTTCCTCTATAAAATATACAATACCAAGTAAATAAAATGGTGTAACATAGGAATGAATAATATACACCTCAAACCTTAAATGAACAAAGAACCAAAGCCTGCTTTGTAATCAGTTTTAAGAACCACAGCTTTCTACTGAAATTGTGCATTGTCCAAACCCCCCCCCCAAACATGAAAGAAACAAAAGCACAAAACTTTTTCAAAGACAAATGGAAATGGCAAAATTCTAGTTCACACTAAGAATTATATCTGTAAAATCTGGCTAAAGAATCAAAACAAGTAAAACCCACTAATCCAAACTAAAAATGAACAATAAACTGGCTTGTACAATCAGCCACATGTAGTTTCCCCTTCAACAAAGGAGTGGGGTTTCTTTGAATAACTATGTTTGTGGCTAGCTAAGGGTCAAAATATCCATTATAAGACCTTCCAGCATCCTTGAAAGCTCAGTTACAGCTACATTGGCTTGGCAAGGTGAAGTCACACCCACAGAGTGCTACAAATCCCTGTGTTATTATAGACCTTCAAAGAATAAAGGAGTGCAAAAAACAGACTTTCTCCTATGTAAAAGGCTGATATTGCCATTTGATTGCTAGTGAAAGTGTATGTGAATGAAAGGGTTAAATCCCTTCCCACAAAGGAAAATGCCCTAGTGCAAGTTTCATTCCTGATAAAACTCGCAGACTTTTACTTTTGATTTGTACTTTTTAAAAAATGCAATCACAATTAATGACCCCAAAATGTCCTATTGTTAGCAGCCTTGCTCAGGTCTTTTTAACACCAAAAAATTTCATGGACCCCACATGATAGTAGTTGTGCTATTAGCTTCAGGTGGGTAGTCTCCATTAAAGGCAGGGGAATTTCCATGCTGCCAATATGCCCCCCAAGCCCCCCCATGAGGAGCGGTTCTCCTCACAAGTAGGCAAGCAGCCCTGACAGGGGCCTCTGGTTGAGCCTGGTCTGATGCCATAGATGTGGGGAGGAAGAAATCTGTCCAAGTTGGATTTATGGACTACTTGCAATAACTAACCACTGGTCTAATAGATACTAGTTCTTTTTTTTTGTAATTTATTTTTTTAATTTTTTCAAAACAAGTTGAGCTATACTATTGCCATTAACAAAGATACATCAACATGAAGGTGCATCTTAATTACAATCACAAGCTAAGCCTGCTTGCGGGGAGGGCGGGGTATAAGTCTGAGGAAATAAATAAATAAATAAATAAGTAAGTAATTATTGTAAATCGTAACACTTCAACCGAAAGACCTTCTATAATACATAAGGTTATTGGTCTACAGAATTAAAGAGGTAAGGATTACGAATATCACCTCTTCCCAACAAACCTTTATGATAATGTTTCATAACATTAGCCATTTATGATAATGTAAGTTTGCAGGTAGAATATCATGCATAGTGAGATATGAAAATATTGGAAACCAGATTGATTCAAATTTGGAACTGGATACTAGTTCTGATGTATGCTTCTCCAATATCCATGCTACCATCAGTCAGTTTACAGACAACCCCTTTCTTTCCAGCTCTTTAATCTCAGGTATACCCAGTCTGATTTTATGGTGCTATTGTATATTTATTGTCTGTTGAACATCAGATGGATAGCCTCTAGAAGGCAAATTACAAAGTAGGATGGAGGTTTCCTTTTCAAAGTCATCAGATTGGAACAATTTCTCTTCAGTTGTAAAATCTAACTGTATGGGAGAAAGCCTGTTTCTCTGCATTCCTTTGTGTGCTGTGAATGCAAGCAGAAGACACAGAGTGGTGTACTCGTTGTTTACTGGATGACCTACGGTATATAATGTGCACATTTCTTGGTATGAAGAAGATAGGAATGAGACATTTCCTAAAGCTCTTTCAGGACACCATTCAGGATTTTCTCTCCATTGTCATCCTATAGTTGGGGATTTTGCTATAAAACCAGATTTATGAACATTGTGATGCTTATGGAAAGACTATTTAGGGAAAAGTGCTCTAAGGGCACTGTGGCATGTATCATACTTATTCTTCCTTTCCTCCTCTATCAAATAATAGAACTAGATGTTAAGAATCACTTTTGCTGGGCTGATGTGAACTGAAACAAATTGGTTTGTGAAACAGAGCAGCCTTAGGGACCGACTGCTGCACTTCATTTTACAGGTTTTCTTTTTAGATAGTAATGATCTGTCCTTGTATTTTGTAGACAGAAATAAGTAAGAATCTTGTGTCTCACACTGAGGTAGAAGGGACTGGATACAATGAATCATGAAAGAAATGAGTTCATGGAATGAATCTCTCTTCATCCCTTGGCAGCACCCCTCCATCTGCACCTGTGAGTCAGGGAAACCTTAGCAAGAGAGTAGGATGCAGCATGAGGATTTGGCAGAAATCACCCACTCAAGACTCTTGTTTTGTTTCCTGAAGAACTTGCACAAGAGGTGACTCTTTGACCAGTTCTCCCTTGAGCTGTAAGCTCCCCAATATTGCATCTCAATCTGTTCCTAAGGGCTCTTTAACCCTTTGCAGCACATTTTCATGGGTGCATGAAGCCATGGGAGGAAAGGGGAGAGATCCATTCTATGAACTGGATGTTCAACAGAAGGAAAGGAAATACTGTATGAGGTGAAGTTAATGGTTTTGCGAGTACAACTCATGCTTTCCAAGTGACAGAAGAATACGTGTGCCAGCGGTTAAAATAAGTGATATATTTATTCATGCCAACACTTGTGCTTTGGTTTTTCCCCCCCCCTTATTCACAGGAAGAAGGAATTGTGAAGGAGATAGACATCAGTCATCATGTTAAGGAAGGTTTTGAAAAAGCAGACCCATCCCAGTTTGAGCTGCTGAAAGTGTTAGGACAAGGTTCCTATGGAAAGGTAACATTTTATAATATGTGGTCTGTTACAGTGATGTCTGGAACTCTTACTGAATTAAAAAAGTAGCAACTAGATGACTGGCAAAAGAGCTGCTTGTTTCAAAGAAGCAACAAGCAAGGAAAACTTGTACTTCTCCCCACATGTCTGGATCTTTTTATACGTGAGGAGATTCAAGTCCTGACTTTGCATAGGAGGCTATGTTTCTATTTTCACTTTCTTAATGATATAAGTAACATTTAACTGAAATCATTAAAAGCTATAGAACCTCCATACCATTTTATTTATTTGATTCATTATTCATTTATTTATTTGAGTCCTTGGGTCAATCACAAGTTCTCTCAGAGCTGTTCTCTCAAGAGCAGTTCTCTCAGAGCTCTCTCAGCCCCACCCACCCACCTCACAGGGTGTCTGTTGTGGGGAGAGGAAGGGAAGGAGATTGTAAGCCACTCTGAGACTCTGAGTGTAGGGTGGGGTATAAATCCAATCTCATCTCCCCCCCCCCCCGGGGACCCAAAGCAGTTTACATCATTCTCCTCTACTCCATTTTATCCTCCATTTAATTAAGACACTTTGGCTAGAACTGAGTGTTACAAGCAGCACATGGCTGCCCCTGAAAGCAGCATCCCTAATACTTTCTTCTCCAAGCTCCCTTGGTAGCATTGAGCAAAACCTTGCAAGTTACCTGCCCCCACAAGCAGTACACAGTGAAGTGGACCAGGGGCAACAAAAATTGCAGCATGGTGGTGATACATCACATATTTTTTTGTTATTAAATGTTGTGGGCCATTGAATGTATTTCTGATCTCAGTTGACAAGTCCAGATGGATAGCTATGTTAGTCTGGAGAAGCAAAATTTTTTATTCCAGTAACACTATGTTTGTTTAGTCTTTAAAATGCTACTGGGCTCGTTTTATTTGATATTTGGGCATCTGAACAGCCATTTATATATTCATCGATATGAAAGGGACAGACAATCCAGATGGTTACATACATATTATCTCTGTACATCTGATTCCCCCCCCCCACACACACACACTCATTTTCCATTCAAAAGCTTTCAAGGACAGCAATCATATGCACAATTAGACCTGACATAGGTGCAAATGTCGGGCAGATTTAAAGGGCGCAATCAGACAACAACATCTGGGAAGCACCCCACAGCTGGTGGCAACCCGTTCTGCTCCACCACAGGGAAAATTAAAATCTAAAAAAGACACCAGGGGAAAATTAAAATCTGGTAGCTACCAGGTTGTGACAGGCCACGAATGGACTTTCCCATGTCTGATCGCTCCAGTGCGCTCTCATGGTATCGGGATGGTCTGATCAGGCCATCCCGACTCCGTGCCATTGTCCCCCCCCCTTTGCAGTATGTGCATCATCGCAAACTCCATAGGGAGCCCTCAATGCGGAGGTGTGATTCATTGATCCCTCGGTTAAGTGCATGGGGGGAAAAGGCACACACACACCCCCGACTCACCCGCAGTTGCATCTGATCACGCACTGACGGACTGCGCTTGCAGCTTCAAAGGGAGGTGTGATTGTGCAACTGCGGGTCAAATTCCTCCAGAGGAAATAGCTTCGTTCCCACCCCTCCCTTTTCTGACATGTGTGACCACAACCAAGGTTTGCAGGCACACCAGTTTTCCATTTGACCTAAAGTATGATCCCGAATGCCAAGCTAACACATTGTGTTGGATCTGAGGTCAGTTTCCATCAGTGACAAGGGAGGGAGTGATTTTCACTGATTTCTCCCTGTTATCCCAATTTCTGATTTTCCCTGACTCACATTGCATGCTGTTTCTAAGGGTCTGCTGTATCCCTGGAGCAGCATTTTGGGAATCTCAATGGGAGGGTGGAGGCAGACAAGTTTTTACCTGATGTTCTCTGAATTCTCAGCTTTTATTTTAAAAAATTAATCTAGTGTCAAGCAGTGTTCCCTCTAAGCCGAGTCAGTGTGAGCTAGCTCACAGTTTTTTAACTTCCGGCTCACACATTTTTGTCTCAACTCAGGAAGGACGGCTCCAGAGTAAACTAATTTATGCAGCCGCCAAATCGCTCACTCACAACTTTAATGCCAGTGGCTCACAAAGTAGAATTTTTGCTCACCAGACTCCACCGCTTAGAGGGAGCATTGGTGTCAAGCTATGTCTTTTATCTCCACAATGGCAGGGGCTAGAGGCTTTTTTTAAAAAAGTAAGCTGCGAATTCAGAGAACCTGTTACACATATTGCATAGTGGTATATTGCTATCATGCAATTGTGGATTTTAAAAAGCATCCCTGAGGCAATGACCACAGTGGGGATAGTGTCAGGGAAAATAACTTCTATGTGGGTAGGAAAATCTGAACTTTCCTGCCCACATGGCAGCCATCCAGGTTTTACTGCTATCTTTCCCAAAACTTTGCAGCAAAGCAGGTTTGCGGAACATTAGAAAAAAGCCAGGGAAAGCAATGCTCTGGGAAAGGGGGGGGGAACAGCATTGAACCTGGGGCATACAACCTGTGTGGAAATGGCCATGATTATTGTTTATGAATAATAATAATGTGACTGTGATGAGCCCGTTAGGGAAGGGTGGGATATAAATTTAACAAGCAAACAAATAAAAATGTTTTGCAATACATTGATTTTTATATGTTGTATTTTCCTAGAAGTTTCATACTTGTGACTTCTTAAACAGCACACAGTCTTCACTGTTTGATTCATCTGTTTTGAGGGGAATGCATCCAAATGCAATATTATTCAGTATTACATGGAATCAGTGACAAATGGCTAGTGACTTAAATTGGTAGCTTTGCTTTCTACAGCTATGTGCCAAACAAGGCTATGAAAGACTATCAGACACATACTGATTTCCCCCTCCCTCAAAGAGCCATAGAGTTCCATGTGTCATAAACAGCATGTCCCCATTTTGAAATTATAGTTTCTATTTATTAACTGCTGAAGTGGACTGTCATCCTCTTTATTTGATGTCAAAGATCCCCCAGGCAGCTTTAAAGGTTGAACGTGAAACCTGCTTGATAGGAGTTTCATGTTTGTGCACCTGTATTTTATGTCTTTATATATCCTGCTTTTTCTTCACCTGAAGAATGAAATTAAAATACCTTGTGAATAGGTCTTTTTAAAATCAATTAGCTGCTCTGACAGTGCTTATTTTAGTCTCCTTACAGTTTTGGTGCAATAGCAGGCAAAATGTGAAATGGATACCTTTAAAAAAAACAGCTAGACACTCTCATTTTACAGGGATTTGCAAGAAGGAGGGAAAGCAGAGATACTCATGAACAGGCTACTACAGCTGAAGCTGGCCCTTCTGTTCCCAAGGCTCTCTAATTACTTGAGGGCTTCCAGAGAAGGTGAGGTGTCTCCATGCCAGGGAGGGGCCCTATCCAGTACCCACATTGCTGGCAATCCCCCACCCCCATGTTAAGTCTCCTTCTGAGGCTGGCAACTAGAGTTGCCATCTCTAGGTTGGGAAATACCTGGAGATTTTGGAGGTGGAGACTGGAGAGGGTGGGGTTTAGGGAAGGGAGAGACCTCATCCATATAGAGTTCACCCTCCAAAGCAGCCATGTTCTCCAAGGGAACTGATCTTGGTCATCTGAATATCAATTGTAATAGCGGGAGATCGCCAGGTGCCACCTTGAAGTTGGTAACTTTACCAGCAATGCTAACAGAGGCTGAGCTGGGGGGCAGGACTTACCTGCTGGCAGAAAAGCTCAGAGCTACTCCCAACAGGAAGACAGGCCATGATGATAGGCACTCAGATGCCAGAGGTGCTGGGCGGGGCAGGATGGGCAAGGCCAGGCAGGTTATGTTCTCTCTGGAAGGGGGCAGGCCAGGTTGGTGGGGGCTGAGAGAGCTCTTTCAAAAACTGCTGTTTCAAGAACAGCTCTGAAAGGACTTGTAACTGACCCAAGTTCACACCAGCAGCTGCATGTGGAGGAGTGGAGAATCAAACCCATTTCTTCGGGATTAGAGTCCGCACTCCTAACCACTACACCAACTGGCTACACCAAAAGATACTATGAAAATTTTTCACATGTACAAATGGCTGCCAAGGACTCCTTCTCTGTTTGGGCATAACAGGTCTCTGAGTCTGTTAGTCTCCTCGAACAAAATGCCAAGCTTTCAACTCTCCCTCATCCTCCTGAAGTAGCACTCCTCCTATCCCATAGCTACTAGCATCAGAGCTAATGACAGTATTGTGTCAGATACCATAAAATGCCAATACTGATGCCTTTTTCAAAAGTTGTTTTATCTTGAGGAAGGCTTCATCTGGTTTTGAACTCCAGTGCCAAATGATGTCTGCTTTTAGCATTTTGTTCAGTGGGTACAATACTTCTGCCAAGTTTAGCAAAAAGTTGCATAATAGTGTACCATGTCCCTAAACATTTAATTCTGTAGTGACTCTCAGGAGATCAATTCCTGAAATGGCCTCTACCTTCCTTGTGTCAGGATTTACCCCACGCTAATCTATATAATGCCCAAGGTCTGTAGCTCTTTCTGGCAAAGGAGACACTTGTGTTCATTCGGTTTTAATCCTCCTGCATTTATGGTTGCTAGGATTTTGCCTAGTTTTTCATTGTGTTCTTCCTCAGTACGGCTATATACTGTCATCCGTAAACACAAATGCACCTTCAAGGTGTTGCAACAGTTCTGTCATTTCCCTTTAAAAGAACTCCAGGGTGCTAGAAATTCCAAATGTTAATCTGTAGGTAAAAAAACCTCCTAAATCGCATGATGAACATGGTTAATTTGTGCTGTCTGGATCCAACTGGAGCTGCCAGAATCAGCTGGCGGCATCCAGCAGTGAAACATGCAAGCATCTGCTAGTCGTGGGAGGATATCATCCATAGTGGAAAGAATGTATCTCTTTTTTTACTGCTTTATTTGGCTGTTTTGAGTCTACACATATATGTACAGTGCCATCCTTTTTTGGTACTGGCATCATCAGGGTACACCAGTCTGTAGGTTTTGTATTTGATTCCATAACCCCACATTTTA